ACTTTACATAAAATACCAAGTCCAAATAAGGAATCCTAACAAGGAACAGGATGATTCTGATTTTTACTGAAATAAAACAGAATATTAACAGCCCCACTGTGAACTAATTTTACATGTGCCAACCACTGCATCTTATTCATTATCTCAGATAAACAATTCAAAATGTAAACTGGTGATCTAAATTTAAAAATTCTAAGTCTTAAGTATCTAATTTTCTATGAATTACAAAAAGAAAAAAATCAAATACTCTAAGCATTACTTTTCATACTGCTAGACTATAAAATATGGCCGTTTATAAATAAAAATTCAAATACATAAAGAATACAAACTCATGTACTGCATTAGAAATCCTTAAACATTTTAAACACATAAGCAGCACAAGTAGACATAAAATATTTTTAAGTGTATTTCTTCTGAGAGAGAAAAAGAGGGACCTCAAGAGGATCTCAGGCTGTGGTTTTCCCCTAAGCCTTCCAAGCAGCCAGGGTCAGTAGTGCACACAGGTGCTCCTGGAATGCACAGATTGATCAGGTAACCAAACTCTGATCTTCCAAATGGATCCAGCATTGCAGAGCTGTGTGTTACTGCTGCACCACTGTGGTCAACTTCATCAATTTTCCTAAGAGTGAAAAATATTGCAAACAAGAATAACTGTATCATGACTGTATCATGTTAACACTAGTGTACAATACTGGATGTACAAGTGCAGTAGAAATGAACACTGAGGTCATTTTATGAAAGTAAGATGATCCTTTATGGGACATTAAATACTTTTCATAAACCGTTTTGGGTTTTGGCTTTATAATAAATAAGTAATAAATATCTGTATTACAGGGTATTTGCTGAGTGCTTATCTTTCTCCATTTGAAAGTCTTTCTCCAGAGTCATAATGTTTTAGAGGCATCTCAGTGGATAGAGAGTTAGGATTTTGCATTAAGTCCACTAACAAAGCAATTTTATCATCTATGTGCTCCTGGAGTTTATATAATCGCTGATCAATGTAGTCCATGAGTTTCTTTTCCATCAGTTCCATATTTCTAGAAAGAAGCTTTTCCAAGTAAGAGTAAACAGGTTGCTCTTCCATTCCAACACCAATAATGCCTTCATAAGGCTTGGCAGTATTTTCCTGCCACTTGCCATTATGTCCCACATGGAGATGGTTAACTTGACTGCACAAGTTTTGGAGAAAAGGCAGCAGCTCAGAGTTAGGTATATCTGAGTTGTCACTTCCTTTCTTTGGCAAGAAAGAGGATACCGCATTCTTAAGATCATTTTCAAGAAGGGAATGGTTTTGTGGCACAATTTTACATTTGTCAAGGTTTGTAGTATTTCCTTCACCAGGTGGCTGGGTGCTTTTATCAATGTAAGCTTTTAAGTTTTTAGTTACGCTTCCAGATGTCAGTCCAGTTCTAAAAGGAAAAGGTGTGGAAGATGATTTGTCTAAGACTTCTGAAGTAGATGATGACTGTAGTGCAATCATATGCTTGTATCCAGTACTTCCCCAAACCAAGTGAAGCTGCTCTCCAATGGGAATACAATTCTGCTGCTGAAACCTAACCATATGCATCAATTGCTGAGCTCCTGGTGATAACTTTGACCCCATGGACTCCATTATAGTTTGGACTTTGTCAAGGTCTATTCTTGATCCTAGAGTAGGAGAGCTTGTTGAAGAATTTGCTGAAACCAATCTCACGTGTACCATAACTTTCCTGATGAACACATATTGCTTTTCACCAAAGGGAGCAACTTTATTATACAAGCATGTGTGGAGGATTCCAACTTTAGAAATTTTTTATACAAAATAACCTTTTCCTGTTCACTGTTGTCCAGGACAGTACACACACTGAAACCAATCTCACGTGTACCATAACTTTCCTGATGAACACATATTGCTTTTCACCAAAGGGAGCAACTTTATTATACAAGCATGTGTGGAGGATTCCAACTTTAGAAATTTTTTATACAAAATAACCTTTTCCTGTTCACTGTTGTCCAGGACAGTACACACATTCTTGCCCCTACTGGTTCCACAGTACTCCTCTCCTAAGTAAACTTCCATGTTTCTTGCTGAACTCAAAATGCCAACAGCACTCATCTCTTCGCCTCCTTTAGGTCGCACATCAGGTAAAGAAAGCAGGGGTTTTCATCTTGCTGTTTAGGCTTCTCTTCAAAATCACCAGATCCTGACTTGGAGCAGGTGGCGCCAGCAGCTCCTCCCAGTCCAAATCTTCGGCACCTAGACCCACCCAGGTGACAAGAAGGCTCTGGGTCAGAGCTCCACATGTGGCATTCCAGTGAAAGAAAAAATTGTTCTTTGAAAGATAAAAAAGATTGACACACAATTATCTAGACTAATTAAGAATAAGAGAGAAAGGAACCAGATAAATCAAATTTGCAATGAATTAGGCAACATTACAACAGACATAACAGAAATACAAAACATCATTAGAAGATACTATGAGTAACTATACACCAAAGAAGAAGAAAACCCAGATTAGATGGACAAATTCCTGGACACATATAATCTACCAAGATTGACTCAGGAGAACATGGAAAGCCTGAATAGGCCTATAACAAGCAACAAGATTGAATCAGTAATAAATATCCTTCCAACAAAGTAAAGTCCAGGTCCTGATGGCTTCAGTGCTGAATTTCCAAAACTTTTAAAGAAGAGGAAACCTCCTTTCTACTCACACTTTTTCTAGAAATCCAAAAGGAAGGAACCCTTCCAAATTTATTCTCTGAAGCCTACATTACTCTCATTCCCAAAATGGATAAGGATTCGACAAGAAAGGATAATTACAGACCTATATCTCTGATGAATATAGATGCAAAAATTCTCAACAAGATATTTGCTAAACACATTCAACAGCATGTAAAAAAAGATGTCAGCTGAACTTTCTATTGGAAGGAGTTAGATTATTTTAAAAATATTGTGAATAAAAAAATGTGGGGGATAAAAAGGAATGGAAAACAACTGTGAACACCTGAGAGTATCGGAGGAAGGTGGGAAATGGAAGAGGGTGAGAAATAGGGGGAACATACACACACACGCACACACACACACACACACACACACACACACAAATCTAGAAATGGAAAATTATTGATGATAACATGTATGATTAAGCCATGATGCATTATATTCTGGATGGGCAATCAAATTTTGCATGCTGTGATAATTCTCAGTGAATGAATGTAAATTAATTAATTTAAAAAAAGGTTATCCATCATGACCAGGTAGGCTTTATTCCAGGAATGCAAGAGTGGTTCAACATATGCAAAACCATAAATGTAATACCCCATCTTATCAGAAGGAAAGATGAAAACCACATGATCATTTCAATCGATATGGGAAAAACATTTGATGAAATACAACATTCCTTCATTATTAAGACTCAGTAAAATTGTCACAGAAGGATCGTTTCTCAGCATAATAAAATCCATCTATGAGAAAACTATACCTAACATTATACTAATGGGGAAAAGCTTAAAGCTTTCCCACTAAAATCTGGCACAAGACAAGGCTGTTCACTTTCTCCACTCCTATTCAATATAGTCTTGAAAGTCCTTGCCAATGTGATCAGACAAGAGAAAGAAATAAAAGGCATTCCAATAGGTAAAGAAGGGCTGAAATCATCTCTGTTTGCAGATGACATGATTGTATACATAGAATACCCAATAGTATCCACAAAAAAATTCTCAAAGTAATAAATGCATACAATTAAAGTGGCTGGATACAAAATTAACTTACAAAAATCTATAGCATTTCTATATACAAACAAGAAGCAGACAGAGACAGAAATGAAGAAAGTATTTCCATTTACCATAGGCATAAGAAGTATGATACCTAGGAATAAAACTAACCAAGTAAGTAAAAGACCTCTATAAGGAAAACTATAAAAACCTTAAAAAGGAAATTCAAATAGATGCAAAAATTTGGAAGGACATCCCATGTTCTTGGATTGGCAGAATTCATAGAATCAAAATAGCATTCTTATCCAAATTAATCTACATATTTAATGCAATCCCTATAAAATTATAAGAGACATTCCTCACAGATCTAGAGAAGACAATCATAGAATTTGTCTGGAATCATAAAAGACCTCGTATTGCCAGTCATCCTGTGCAAGAAGACTGGAGTGGAAGCATCTAACTTCCTGACCCCAAAATATATTATTAAGCTGTGATAATCAAAACAGCATGGTACTGGCACAAAAAACAAACATGAGAACCAATGGAAAAGAGTAGAGACCCCAGAAATAAATCCCAAAACATACAGCCAACTGAATTTTGACAAAGGGTTATAGTAAATCCAATGGGAAAAGGAAAACCTCTTTAGCAAATGGTGCTGGAAAAACTGGTTTTCCATCTGAAGAAAAATAAATCTGAACCCCTATCTGTCACCATTAACAAAAATCAACTCAAAGTGGATCAAAGATCTAAACCTAAGATCACAAACTATAAAACTACTTGTGAAATTCTGGGAGACATTGGCGTAGGCAAAAACTTCTTTAGCAAGACCCACAAAGCACAGGCAACAGTCTCCAAAACAGATGAGTGGGATTACATCAGACTAAGAAGTTTCTGCACAGCAAAGTACATCGTAATTAGTGTGAACCCTCAGAATGAGAGAGAATTTTCGTTAACAGTGCCTCAGATAAGGAACTGATAACCAGAATACACAGGGAACTCAAGCAGCTTACCCAGAAGAAAATGATTAATCCAAATAAAAGATGGGAAAATGAGCTGAATAAACAACTCTCTAAGAAAGAGGGACCAGCTGTTAGCATAATGGCTATGCTGCTGGACTCCCATGTAGTCGACCACGGTTCGAGTCCCGGACC